ATACCTATTACTAAAGAAGCATAGAAGTGATTTTTAACACATTCATACCACTATAATTGACAATTGTTTGAAAATTGTGAAAGAGTCCTGCAATATTTTCCATAGTTAGAATATAAACATCAACATCTTGTCAGTATTTGGAGAAAATATATTACTCTAACAAAGTATCTTCAGCTGTTAATGATATAATAAATAATTTTACTAAATGGTTAGAACAAATCATCTACCAATTCTGCATGTGCCCTCATCCTAGGGACTTAGATCCTTGACCCATTTTTCTCCCCACTACCTTTGATAACATATATAAATAGAACTAGATTTTATTATTTCTGGCATTTTACTTTCCTTTTTTTCATTTTGTTCGTTGGTTCGTGTGTATTTCAGGTGTGATTTCCTTCCACTGTAAATGATACTTCTATTTTTGAAACACCCACTGTGCCTGGGATAGTACTGCAGATAGTTACCCAATAGTACAAGTTAAAGTAAATTGAGTAATTTCTAGTTTATAAAGCTGATATTTTACATTTACAGATGTTTTCTTCATAAAAGTTAAAAGTTCTATTGGAAATCATAGTCTCAGTTGTACGAAGCTTATTTGATTTGAGATCTGTCCTGAGATGAGGTATCCATGGGAATTAGAGAAATATTTCGTATAGTTTTAGGTTCCACACAGATTTCTTTTTCATATCCCAGGAAACTAAGCATCATTTTCAACATTTAATCAATGTACTCTTCCCTCTGTTGTGCAAAGTCCTTCCTTGTGTACTCATCCTGATTTATTTGTGTTTTTATGCTCAGGCTTTACCTCTTCAAGAAAGCCTCTCGGAATGAGTCTTGTCCTTTCCTGTGCTTCTGTTCTACTACTCTGACACTTGTATTTAAAATAATTGTGTTTTCTGAGCTAAAATATTTATATGTGATTTGCTCTACGATACTGTGATATCCTTGAGGGCAGGAACAGTACGCCATCCCTTTATCCCTAGCTCTTATCCCAGTGCCTGGCATGATGTCTAGCATATACTAACCACAAAGATGTTCAACAAATGCTTGAACTTATTTCAAAATCTCAAATGTGCTTGTTCTCTCTCTCTCTCTCTTTGCAAAGTGGTTAAAAGCATGGGCTTTGGCACCAGGTCGCCTGGGTTTAAATTCAGGCCCAATCAGTTATGAGACCTTGGGAAAATTACCCAATCCCTCTAAGTCTTAGTGTCTTCAACTTTAAAATGGGAATAAAAACATTTCATAAGTTTCTTGTGACCAATGAAGGAGCGAAACTGTATACACTCACACAAACATAACTTAGGAGAGCATGGTAAAAGCTCTAGAAGTGTAGATATATTATTTTTATCCACTTAGATACATGAATACTTATCATTCTTATGAAACTCATTAGTATAATTTCAAAAGTATATTTAGAAATGACTTTGCACAGTTTTGTAGAACCTTCCCAATAATATTTTCATTTTCAAGTGAGGAGAAGATACAGGATATTGTATGGAATGTTATACAGTTAGTATATGAGTGAGGGGACAATTCCTTACATTACACAGGCTGGGCCACTAAAACCAGCAGAGATTAAAAACTACATTTTAAAACCCAACCTGCAGTTTACCTAGAGCTTCATTCAGTTCCAAAATATTTCTGGCTCAGGAACTTTTTTTTAACATTTGCCATTCTTTACTACTTCATACCTTTTCTATCTATATTGAAAGAAAGGGCTGAAAATTAAGAGAATCCAAACTTGTTTAAAGAGAGACATCTAAGAGGGGCTTTCTTATGGGAGATTAAAATTAAGTAATATTTCTTGGGGGAATATGAATCCAGAAATACAGATCTCATGTTCAATGCAGAAGCTGAAGCAATAAAAACTAACCTTTCTTAGAATAATTCTGAATTTTGTTAAATCTCTGTAGGAGAGATGAAATATAATTAAATTAATGGGGAAAATCATTAGTAGAAGTCCTAAGAAAGAGAAATATCAGGCTATACACTAAAACAAAGAGGGGTGATAACTGAGGGTTATCAACATTTGTCACTTGCTTTAGAAAGATCAAGAAGATTGAAACCTAAGGATAGGCTATCAAATGAAAGGTAAAATTATTATGTAGAAAGAGAAGCATAAAATTTTACACATAGAAAGTCCACAGGAGAACATCCCATTCAACCCATCATTATACAAGAAAACTGAGTTGTAGAGAGAAGTCAAAGTTCATTCATTGAGTCACTTTGGAACGGAACTACATATTTTGGTATCTTGGCTTCATAATCCCATTTCCTTTTTGCACCTGTACACTGCAATCTAATCTCTGAAAAGAGGGTATTCCATGAAGTTATTAACAACACAACTTCTGGGAAAGAAGATATTATTTGATGTCAACATCTGACCATAACTGAGATAAAACACAAATGAAAAAAGCAAAGAGACTAAGTGTTTTAATGACAATAATTTGAACCCATTACCTATTAATACAAGGATGAGCCACAATAATAGTTTTTATGCAAAATTACTGTTGTGTTTCATAAGAAAACTATGCTCAAGTAATGAATGATAGGGTACTAACTAGCTAGAGAGGAAAAGAGCGTAAAGAGGGAGAAGAAAGAGAAAAAGAGAGAAAAAGACAGACTGGAAAGTTGAGGGAAGAAGAAAAACCAACTCTCAAACTTACAATCTCTCACATACGAAGCACTAGTTTCCTTCAAGGACATCAAATAATGTTTCTATTTCATCTAAGTATTTTGAAATCTGGTGGTCAAAACCTTCTCCACCACCTCATGCTGTAAATAATTACTTCAAAACCAATAAAAATCTATCCATCTGAAAAGGGGCTAATATCCAGAATCTACAAAGAACTTAAACAAATTTACAAGAAAAGACAACCCCATCAAAAAATGGGCAAAGGATATGAACAGACGCTTCTCAAAAGAAGACATTTATGTGGCCAACAAACATATGGAAAAAAGCTCATCATCACTGGTCATTAGAGAAATGCAAATCAAAACCACAATGAGATACCATCTCAAGCAAGTTAGAATGGCAATCATTATAAAGTCAGGAAACAACAGATGCTGGTGAGGATGTGGAGAAATAGCAACACTTTCATGCTGTCGCTGGGAATGTAAATTAGTTCAACCATTGTGGAAGACAGTGTGGTGATTCCTCAAGCATCTAGAACCAGAAATACCACTTGACCCAGCAATCCCATTACTGGGTATATACCCAAAGGATTATAAATAATTCTACTATAAAGACACATGCACACATATGTTTATTCCAATACCGTTCACAATAGCAAAGACTTGGAACCAACCCAAACTCCCATCAATGATAGACCAGGTAAAGAAAATGTGGCACCATGGAATACTATGCATACATACACCATGGAATACTATGCAGCCATAAAAAAGGATGAGTTCATGTCCTTTCCAGGGACATGGATGAAGCTGGAAACCATCATTCTCAGCAAACTAACACAAGAACAGAAAACCAAACACCAAATGTTCTCACTCATAAGTGGGACTTAAACAATGAGAACACATGGACACAGGGAGGGGAGCATCACACACCGGGGCCTGTCAGAGGGTGGGGGCCTAGGGGAGGGATAGCATTAGGAGAAATATCTAATGTAGATGTCGGGTTGATGGGTGCAGCAAACCACCACGGCACATGTATACCTATGTATATGTATATGTAACAAAACTGCACCTTCTGCACATGTATCCCAGAGCTTAAAGTATAAACACACACACACACACACACACACGCACACACACACACACACACACACCCCCAAACCCAGGAAGCACCACCATAAAAAAATTAAACAAAATAAACAATACAAATGAAAAATGCCTCATACTTACTGTAAAGGAACCTGACTCTAAAGAAGACAAATAATTCTCCATAACAGATAGAACAGCTCATCTGATTGGAAGAGCAAAGATGCAGATCCATCACAGGGATGCTAGCTATTTTAGGTTCATTCTAATCCTGTAATTTTAAGACATGACTCAAATTTCCTACTTCTAATTTATTTGCCAATATATCCAGTAGAATGAATAATTTAAAATAGGTACTTTCCAGAATGCTGAGTGAGACATAAAAAGGATTTTGTGAAAAGCTTTTTGGTATAAGTAAATTTTGTGATAAGGTTCTTGCTATTAAGGAATAGAAAATGGAACCAATGTTGGTTTTAAGAGGAAAAACAGTTGCTGACTATTTAAATCGCTTCAATATTTCACTTACCGTTGATTTTACATAATATTGAGCATAGTAATGAATAGTCTAACCTGTCTGACCAATTTTATATAATTTTAAGCAGTGTTTTGTTATATTTTACAATACAAAAATAGCCACCCTCCCTTTTGTATTTGTTTTTTAAATATATACCTTTAGGGCATTACGCTTTTAAATTTATAAGCAGCAGAAAATATCTGAAACACATATTCGTATTAAAACATTATTCTTTGTATAAAACCACTGACCCATTTTTCTAAAGTAAAAATCGCTGCTGGGTTTTTACTTATATTGAAACTATAACAAGTAAAGTTCAATTATTATATTTATACAGTACCTTGAAGAGTATATGTCAAGTTGCACAACTGACCTTCTTTTCTATAAAAAGTATAGATGTAGCCAAAAATAAGTAATTGAATTATGGAACATTTTGAAAAAGAGAACCCCGTTGCTTTTGTTGCATGTAAATAAATTTGGATGTTTAATACTTCTTTGCATTTCCTTGCATATTTGCAAATATGACCTTAATTTTTTTAATTAAAAAATCTGTCCACTTTACAGATTTAAAAGTGATACCTTGTGAAGACAGCTGTACAGAAAAAAATAAACCCATAAATTTAGCAGATTTTCAGAGACATAAAAATAAATTTTCTTTTCAAAGAAGAACCAAATACATGCCACAATTCCATCACAAGCCATAGTATGAAAATCAACTTTTTCTCTCCATAAAGAATTGAGTTGTTTAGGTTGAATTCACATCACTCACCTGTTTGACTAAGCTGAGATGTGCTTCTACTCCTTCGAGACACTATGGCAACCACTTTGGCACTAAGGCTGGATCTCCGTTTCTTTCCACCTGCTCCAACTGTACCAACAGCTGTGTCTGACTGGCTGCCGTCATTATGCTCCAGTGTGTACATCTCTCCACTCACACTGGTGCTCTTCATGATGGCTCTTCCTGAAGTCCCCATCCGTCTGCCTTGCATTTTGGGGGTAAATGAACTATATTTACAAAGTAAAAACATATATGCATCCATAAATTACAGGTCAGCATCACTGAAATTCTAAATCTAATTTATTTTGAAATAATCCAGACATATTTTTAGGGGAAAAATGCAGTTGAGTAGTGGTTCTACACCTACAAATAGTTTAGTATCACACCCCGCAAAATATTTATTACTAGACATGGCTTAAAACAATGCCATTTCAAGATGGAATAATTTATAAACTTTTTAAAGATTATAAAAATAAGTGCAACAAATGCCATACATGGGGAGAAGAATGTTACTGACCAATTTTGTAAATAGTATAGTTACTATGTTACCAGAGAAAAACTAAAATATTTCAATTATTAAGAAAAGTTCATATACATTTCAGAGAGAAAAATATTTTTAAAAACGTACACTCTTTAAATGTGCCACATAACGAGGCTTAAGAAATGAAGAGTATTTGTTCTAATTTCCCTTTGGGATTATAACTAACACATCTTGCTTCATGAGTCTAAGTAAGACTGCAAAGAAAGCAAAAACTAAAACGAAAACAACAACAAAAAATGCTTTTGGATTAGTTTCCCCTCCTCCTTCCTTGTGCCCTCATGCTCCACTTCTCCACACAAACTTCTTCATATCATTTCCTTCTTTCAGTGCCTCACACTCGCATGATGTAGGCTGATTTCTTTTTGTTTTTTTCCTTTCCTATCAAAACTTGTCTATGTTACCGGCTTGTACAAGTTTATCTGAAGAGATTCCTTCTCTCCCCAAAGAATATATTATTGTTAATTATTTTATGCAGCATAGAAAGTTAGCTGGGAAAAACTCCTTACTATTAGCCCAAGTAAACTATGTCTGAGAGTTGAGGAGAGGTAGGGCAAGCAGGCAGGGAGCAGGGATATTAGGATTCTTACAACCTTTTAAATTACAATGCGTATGCAGCTTTATTATCCATCTAGACCAGTACATTTCTGTCTAATAAAAACCTGGTTTGATACATCTAAAATGACCCTCTTAATTTTGTTTCCTCAAAATATTTGCAAAAACTAATTATATGACCCTTATTACCATTTTGATCTTCTTCATTTTCTACTTCTTGTTTTGAACTACAAAATACATACTAGCTGATATAGCATCTTTAACAGTGAGGACATTTAATATGTAAGTCAGAATAAATCCTAATATGATTATAAATTGTAAAACAGAAAGTCTTGGGATTATGTAACAAGTTTGTTGTCATATATATAATGAGAGAGAAATTGGTATGAGGTGAATTCAGAAACGTGGGAGAGTAAGATCAGGAAGGAGAGTTTATAAGCTATGGAAAAGAGATTAAGACTGGTCCTTAGGATCCTTCATGGATTGTGAATTGAATATTGAGACCTCTATTGATGAGGACAATTTGTAATTTTCAATATTTAGTTGCATTACTTGAACTTGTCCACATCGAAATTCTGATAATAATAAATGATTCTTATTCTTTCAACATATTCTAGTCAGTTTTTCATTAACTCAAAGTTTTAAAAGTCATTTGCAAATCTGATAATTTTGCTATGCATTTTATGTACATTTTTTGAGACACAAATGAGAGTATTATTATATATCATCCGTCCCAAACTGATTCCTGTGGGATTTATATTCCCAACTCCAGCAGACTTTCTTTCCTGATAAATATTATGGTCAATTTCTTCTGTGTCTTCACCAACATATTGGAATGCATTAGCTAAATATGCCACCCATCCTTACGGCTACTCTATCTGCTTTTCTTTACTATTTTACTTGCAGAATTCTGCTGGAGAATCTACAGAAATGTCAGGATTTGGTCAATTTCATAGTTACAATGTCCATGCTCAGTAAAATGCCTACAACAGAGAAAGCAGTGGTTTCTCATCTCTCATCAATCTTTTTAGCACACTCTCCACAGTGGTTACTGAAAACTTCTCTTCTGATGATTTTTTTTAACCTTTAAAGGAAAGTATGAATTAACTAACATGTACCCTTTTTTCTTCCCATTATTTCCATAAAGATGGAATTCTATTACAGCTTGAAATTTCTCTCTCTAATATCGGTCTACAAAAAAACACCATTGTGAAATTCTGGGCAATGTTCTTTACTTTATAAAGAAGTTTAAGAGTATACGGAAATGTCTGCTATCATATTTTGTTATTAAAATTTAAGATGAGCTGGGAAGAGTCAAAAGTTTATTTCATGGATATCCAATTTTAGCAATGAAATATTCTACAATTTTGACAAAAGTTCTGGAAAACATAGAAAAACATGTATAACAAGTGTTATCATTGGGAGGGGGTTAAGTTATACGAAAAATGATTGGGTGAATAAAATATGAGGTGCTTTTTTTTCTCAAAAAATATATGTCTAGATGCTTAAAAGCATTCTTTTATGAGGACATGTGTAGATTCCTAAACAGTCTATAATATAATAATATTCAATGAAAAAACATTTAAGGTATTTTCATTTCTTTTAATTGAGGCAGTTCAGAGGATCTATCTAATCAGTCAGATTAATCTAATCAATCTAAGGATTACAGCACAAATATGCTTTCTACTGCCCCATTTCTTAACTTCCATTTGTTCTGCTTCTGTTTCTTGAAAAATTATTCCTATCACTTATACATATCTGAATCGTTTAAGACACATCTTAAGGTTTTCTGCTTTATAAAGCTATTCAGTCTCTCAAGCTTCATGACTGTTGTCTCCTGGTCCTTTGTTTCATATTTTGTACTGGTTATATTAAGATTCTGATATTTCATAACAGCAAGCACTTTATGCACCACTAAAACTGCTACAGTCCCCTTCCCATTGCTGAATGAATTGATTTATGAGTAGGAAGTGGAAAAAAAGTGATCAGTATAGAAATATACTGTGATATAACCCATCTTTAAAAAATCAAACAAAATTCCTTTCTTTTTGATCCCCCCTCTTCCTGTAGACTTTTTGCTGAAAAATCTCAAGTAGTTATTTATATATCCTCTCCTCCTATTTTTTTCTGAACAAATTTGAATCAGGCTTTGTCCCCAACATTTCGCTAAAACTGCCTTTTATCAGTCGCCAATAACTCCACATAGCAAAATCCTGTCACTTACCAGTCCTAATCCTTTTGACCTCTCAATATGTCATGCATTTGTCAAACAATTTGATTCCTTTGTCTTGAAATACTTTATTCTAATGGATTTTCCAAACTTGTGCCTCACTGGCAGGACCTTGATCCTCTTTTATCACTAAATGTAAGAGCACCTCAATGTCCAGCCCTTTGGCTTATATTCTTCCACATGAAATGAATTCCATAGATGTCTCACCTGGTTCCAAGCTTTATGTAGTATCTATATGCTGCAGATCCCAATTGTTTTCCTGCACCTTGTACTCAACCCTGGACTCCAGATTTATATATCTAGCTGTCAACTGACATATCTGCTTGGATATATCTAATAAGGCTCTCAAACATAAAGTGTTCAACCCCTCAAAACACCTGCTCCCTCTCCAGTCTTCCATATCACATCATAGGCACCCATCTACCCAACTGCTCAGAGTAAGAACAAAATATCCAATCTTGGAAGTAAGACAAGCCCAACCAACCAACCAACCAAATTGGTTTCTTGGCCACTTTTCTTGAGCATTCCCTAACGTGCTTGTGCACTGGCTAACAAGAGCACCTAAGGTCATTTGACTGTCTACAGAAGTGTAAAATTTTGACTTAGTATTTACTTGTATAATTATAGTCCAAATATTTTATATTCTTTGTAAAGTTAGATGTTAATTTGAAAAAAAAAACTAATAAAGGGCAAATGATTACTATCTGGCCCTAGAGAGGATAACCAGTAAGTCATAGTTTCATTGACTTAGAATACATTATCCAGTTCTGAATCTAACTTAGTAATCTAATTTTAGTATTCCATTTTTCCCCAATAACTATATGTGTGTGTACAAAATTACAAGGGTTTCTTGGATCATCTTTGGAAACAGCTTGTTATACTGTTGGTTTTCTCACTAATTAATTAAAACTCCAACATTTGCTATTTTTCTGGTGATTGTTGTTTTAATTTGGAGAATTACATTCTGACAGTACTGGAAGTTCCACCAAAGACACTTAAATGAACTCTCTACTTAAGCCAATTAGCTGTGTTGTCCAAGCAGGGCATTTCATGGGCTCTATAAGCCCAAGGATGCCTTTTCCTGGCTTCCAGATTTAACCTCAAGAGGCAACAGCACAGTCTTCTTTCTGTTTTCTTTTTTCTGACTCTGGTTTTCTATGCATGTTTTGATTTTGTTTTGTTTTCTTTCTTTCTGGTTCTGGTTCTTGGCAAGACTGGCTCTGATTCTGCATTGCTTATGACTAATAATACTTTCTAAACTAGTAGCAGTAACAATAGGGAATCTACCTATGGGTGAAATCTGTCAGATGGCTGGCCAACAGATTTCAATGTCAGGAATACATTGAAAGCTGGGTGGCAGATAATAGAAAATCTAGTTTGGTAGACTTTTTGCATTTTTTTTTTTTTTTTGGCATGCTACTAAAAACTCACATCACTCAAGAAATACATTGTGCACACTGAAAGAAGAAAAACCCTTTAAAGTCTAGGCTTAGGTTACTATGTTAATTTTAACCCTATAGCTGAGTGGTAATGCTGAACCTGCTAGTTCTTTTTGCTCAAAAATCATCTTTTCAATTGGTGACAAAAAAATTTCTTACTTTGTGTATAGCATAGGGATAGTTGTTCAAGTAGCAAATACTAGATCTCAAGGTATTTTATTTTTATACTTCTGTTTTAAAAAAATGTTTTAATTTTCAATTTCATGGGTACATACTAGGTATATATATTTATGGGGTATGTAAGATTTTTGGGGGGGCTTTTTATCACACTTTAGGTTCTAAGATACATGTGCAGAACATGCAGGTTTGTTACATAGGTATACACGTGCCATGGTGGTTTGCTGCACCCATCAACCCATCATTTACATTAGGTATTTCTCCTAATGCTATCCATCCCCTAGCCCC